CTTTCACACATAACCACACTTCACTTTTCGGTTTACTTTCTTGTCACTTCGAAGGAGTTCACCCATTCGTCACCAAATTCAGAATTTTTAAAGTGCATTAACAACAGTTTTGCGTAAGAACTGATTTTTAAAAATGGCTCACATTCTGTCGAATCGATAATTTTCAGTTCAGTGTATCAAGAAATTTTGTTTATATGAAAAGTGCTTCTGCGTGAAGAAACACTGGGCTGATATCCTTCAGAAGATGAAACGAATGTCAGTATCGCCAACAAGCGACACAGTAATAAAGGCAGATGGAAGAGTTGTGAAAGTAAAAAAGTGAAATTGATGGGCCAGGACATTCGTTTTGCTGACAACCGGTGAACATCTTGTATTAGTGAGTAATATCCAAGAGAAAGCAAACGACTATTTGGGCACCCACTGAAGAAATGGAGCACACACACATCGAACAGGCTGTGGATAATAACTGGAGATACGTGACTCGGGACTGAGGGATCTAGCAAAGCTTTGCCCAACGTGTGCGAGCATCCCAGTAGCATCGTAAATATAAGATCTCCACGACGATTTTCCAAGCAGTCTTAATATATAACAGACAGTATAAGTATGTACCAAGACTGTTCTAGTATATATATATATATATATATATATATATATATCGATTCTTTCGATTTCCATGCAAAAAAATGCGTCGGAATAGAGCAGAAGTGAACATGAACCGAAGGAACTGCATTATTAAGAAGTAAGGGTTAAGGTACTGGAAACAAAGTGGTTGATAGACAGGAAATTAGTGGGTGGGGCATATAACGATCCACAGAAAAACTGTTTCCATGCAGAAAATTGTCCTTCTGGTAAAATTGCCCTCCACATACAAAGATCATCTGAAGCCTTCCTTGCACAGCTTTCAATGGAATTTTCAAATTTCTTAGCTATGCAGTAATCAGCTATTCTGTCATCATCATGCTTCTTCCCGTCACCGAAAATAACTTCTCCATTCTTCTTTATTTCAAGTCCTTTTTATCCACTTAATGCATTACTTTTTTTTGTCATTCAAACAAATCTTTTTCTGCAGCACTGGCAAATTTTTGGTGTTTTTTTTTTTTTTTTGGCTGTGCATGGGTATCATTTCTGCTTCGTTCATCAGCAGTCCCCAATTCCTGCCACGAAAACAGTTCCGCTTACGTTTCCTTGAATACCGGTCACATGGAGTCCGAACCACTTCACTACTATGACATTTCAAAACAAGAATTTTTTCGATAGAAACCTTGGTTTAAGCTGAACCGTCCTGAAATCTAATTTTTCAGTGGGAAATCCAGTTCCTCGTTGCTGAGTTCCATGGCTTGTTCGGGCAGCTGATCAAAGCAGGTTTGTTTATAGCATGAGTGATTATTTTTAAAATTGTAACTCTCAAATGCTGCTTCTAGATCGAACAAAACAATCCCATCGAGGCGCTTTTCGCTTGCACACATCGATGGTAACGGTGTCGATTAAAAGAAAAAAAAAAGAAATCACATTATAACTCACTGGCTGTGATCTTTGTGCTAAATTGTATGATTGCATT